AGCGGTCAATTTGGTCAAATAGCAGGGGAAATGGGGTCTAGACCTCCTGTGCAAGCATCTTCAAGCTATGTGAATGATTTGGACCTGATTGGGTTCACGGAGTCGCAACTGCTGTCTGAATCTGTGAGCGTCGAGATACTAAACACTAGGAACAATTGTTGTGAGATGAGTATTCTTGTTACTGAAAGAATTGTCTTTTGCAGGAGAAGCGTCTGTGCAGCGAGGCCAAGTTGGTTCCACCGGTATATCTACAGATGCAGCAAGTGATGTCACATGAGATATTCAAAGGGAATGTGACGAAGAAGTCGGATGCATATAGCCTGTTCAAGATTGATCCGACCAAAGTGGACCGAGTTTATGACATGCTTGTGAAGAAGGGTATTGCTCAGCTTTAAGGCTTTTGTGGTATCATCTATGTACGTGTGAGAGCTCTATTGAGTTATTTGTTTACTACACCTCATTTGTCGTAATTATAAATAGAGAAAAACGTGATTCACTTATCCGTTAGAATATTTGTTCCCTTTTTGAGAAAAGAGATAAGAGGTAAATGAGAGCCACACAATCTAAATCCAAATGGCTTGAGTATATATATATATATTTGAGAAAGAATCAGAGTCCTCAAACAAGGGAAGAGGAAGAAGTAAGATGGAGATGATGTCTCTCCCCAAAATGAATCTGTCTTGTCTGCAACCTCACCTCCATTTGAGCAGCAGGTCATTATTAGCAGCAGCTCAGGCGTTTCCAAGCATAAGGAGCAGAACAACATGCCGTGTTCGGTGCGGCTCAGCGAGAAGAAGACCAAGTAGGAAGAACATGATGCCTGAAAAGGCACAAGAACCAGTGGGTTTGGAGAGGCATTGGAGACATGCAGTGGTGGGTGGTGTCTCTGTAGGGTTGATGATGGCTTTGGTAATGGGAATGGATGCAGAGAAGGCGATGGCTTTGGGACCAGAAGGTCCTTTGATGGAAGAGTTTTGGGACAACGTGAGAAGGTACGGTCTTTACGCACTCACGGTCAGCACGGGAGCTCTCTCGGCCGTCTTTGAGCCTATCTACGAGCTCCTCAAGAACCCGATCTCCGCCATTCTCATTTTGATCATATTAGGTGGAAGCTTCTACATCGTCTCCCAAGTTGTCTCCGCCATGATTGGTGTCAACGAATTCGCTTATGATTACGGATATTGACCAGTAATAATACTCTTTTTTATTTTTTTTTGTCTTTGGTCATTCGCTTATGCTTCTCTTTATCTATTTAGTATCTTGTTACTTGCACAATCAATCAAGGAAGGGACATTTTATTTGACAATGATAGATAGATACACCATATCATGTACAGAGAAAAGCAGTTTAAGATGGAGAAATCATTCAACGTTATGCGTGACGTAGTCCATGAGTCCATCAGCAGTAGATTGTTCTGAAGGCTGTTGGAAGCCACCAAAGGTGATTGCCATAGCCAAGAAGGCTGCAGTTGACGCAAAGAGAGGCCAGAAATAGGCTAATATGTCCACAATTCTTGGTGCTGCGTACACGAGGGACGCGGTCACCATGATTGCCACCATGATGTGGAATTTGTATTCCATTACTCTTGCCTGCAACTGGATCTCCATTTCCTTATCGAAAATTC